TCCATCTTCTGTTGACAGTGGGATGCAGTATCTGGGACGCAGTGGAGGTGATATCTCGGGATTGTATCACTGAAGATCATTTCATGGTACGTGATCCTCCTGGAGACCAAGAAATGAAACCGTCCAATCTTGAACAGTCTTCTGATAGAACCCAAATCTTCCACCGTGTTGACCATCCAAGGTCTAGTAATGAGGACCCATCAGGTGATGTCTCTAAGGAACCTCCCCCTCTTAGTTCAGGGACAGTTGGTCACACGGTAGACCAATCGTTTCCATGTTCTCAATGTGATAAGTGTTTTGGAAAGAAAGCTTATCTCGTCTTACATCAGAGAGTGCACACGCGCGAGCCTCCGCTGCCATGCTCCGAGTGCGGCAAGTGTTTTATATCCAGATCTCGTTTGGTCCGACATCAAAGACAGCACACTGGCGAACGACCCTTCTCCTGCTCAGAGTGCGGGAAATGTTTTGTAGCAAGTTCACATCTCTCCTCCCACCTGCGGACGCATACAGGGGAGCGTCCGTTTTCATGTTCCGAGTGCAATAATTCTTTTGCCGCAAAGTCGGACCTGATCAAACATCAAAGGCGTCACACTGGAGTGAGGCCCTACTCGTGCACGGAGTGTGGGAAAAGTTTCACGTCAAAGTCGGATCTGGTTAAACATCAAAGGCGTCACGCGGGAGTGCGGCCATACTCGTGCTCGAAGTGCGGGAGATGTTTTAGTTCAAAATCGGACGTTGTCAGGCATCAAAGTTATCACAGTGAGGTGAGGCCCTATGCATGTTCGGAGTGTGACAAGTCATTCAAAGTCAAAGCAGTCCTTGTCCAGCACCAGAAAACCCACAAGGGTAAGAGGCCTTAGCCGTGCTTGGAATGCGGTCGGAGTTTCAAACGGAAAACGCACCTGACGGGACACCTCAGAGTTCACGCGCGCGAGAGTCCGTTTTCCTGCTTGGAGTGTGGGAAAAGTTTTACGCCGAAAGGCACGCTCGGCAGACACCAGCGGACCCACACGGAGGAAATGCTGTACACGTGTACAGTGTTCGGGAAACGCTTCACTGAAAAATCAGACCTTCATATGCATCAAAGGACCCACACAGGCGAGCGTCCTTTTACGTGTTCAGAGTGCGGGAAAGGTTTTTTGCAGAAGTCAACCCTGAATCAGCATCAAAGAACCCATGCCCATTGAAGCTGGTAACAAATCTATGGTGGTTGGATTTGTTTGTCGACCAAATAAAAGTGGAGGAATTTTAAAGGATGCGTCCATCCAACATTGATATTCTAGTTAGAAGCCGAATCTGATTTGTTTATATTTTATGGTATTGATGCCGTTTTGGCCTTTTTTGTAACGTTACTTCCTGTGACCAATAAAGTTGGGCATAAAACAACGAAAACTGTGTCGGAATTTGTCACAACAATGACTGTAACCCTCTCTCCCTGGCCTTATAAATTCAGAACACAAAGGGCTGGCTCCGCCCAGTTGTAATGACAGATCAGCGTCCCCAAATGACCTGGGGCCGCTGATCTGTCATTAAACAATGAAAACTGGGTGTAGCTGGCCGTGACGTCACTCCGCCCAGTTGTTATTCATTGGCCGGCCAATAGGAAACAGTTTGCACCCATGTTACATTCCACATTTTAGGCCTGAAAATTACTTCAACCCCCCCAAACATGATATATTTCCTGAAAGCCGAGACCCCGGAGAATAAAATGGCGGCAGTTCAATTTTTTTTATATTGCACGATATTAGCGCAATATTATCAAACCCCAAAATGTAGTGAAAAATGACCTTAAGTGACCCAGAAACACAATAAAATACCCATTTTGTTTGTAAAATGTAAAAGAGGAGGTGACGACGAGTAAATAGACACCCGACATGCCCGGGTTACAAATTGTGCGTGCGTCCGTGAAACGGCGACAAACGTCAGTACCCCTAAAAAGTCCATAGAAGACGCTTTAAAAGCGCTCCCACAGGTCATCAGTTTAGAGATACCCAAAACAACCGGCCCCGGAATTATAGCTCTCACTCCGGCGTGCGCGGCGATACCCAACATGTGTAGCGCGTTCGTCGTTTTCATACGTAGGCGCACCCGACGCGTGTTTACGTAGAGACGCGCTTGCTCGCAGGGGGCGGGGACTTAAATTTTTTACAAATTATTTTTACATTTATTTCATTTAATATTAATTTTGAATACTGTTTTTTTTTTTTTAATTGCTATGACATAGGAGCGGCTTACAAACCCCCCATGTGATAGCAGATGGTGGTGACAGGTACTCTTTAAGGTGATCCTGGGGGTCCAAAAGACCCTCAGTGTCACCTTTACACTAGAAATAAGATATTGAAGTGCAGATCGCAGGCTTCAGGATCCGACCAATGACAGCTATGGGACCGGAAGTGATGTCATCTGCATCGCTCACGCTCCCATAGAACGTGGAGGGGATCGGTGAACGGAGGTTCGCCCATCTGCTCCCCAGCTTCCCGCCGACACCAGAGAAGCCGGTCCCGGGATCCCTCTCTCTCCTATTGATGTTGCAAATAAATACCCCAAAAAAAGACCCTAAGACTCGAGCCGTTCTGTCAGTGAGTGTTGGTGTGCTGTTGCTGATCAAAGGGGACCGGCAGCTGGAACCAACAGGTAGGAGAACCTATTTCAATATTCAGCGGCTCCTTCGGGGGTGAGCGCTACATTTTTTTCCCCCCATTTAATCTTCTATTCTGCCGGCGATCATTATTTGACGCCATTGTCGCGTCTTCGCTCTTCCGCCGCCAAACCTTTTCGGGGGAATTTTAGGACTGAATGACGAATTTCTATCATTTTATTTCGAGTGGTTTTCGGACGCGATGTTCCAGATACTTTTTTTTTTTTTTTTTAAATTCTTTTTTCTAGCAAATCCTTAAATTTTAGAACAATATCGAACGATTGTTATTTATTTATTTTTTTCCAAGATGTCGGACGTGACTGCCGATTGATGTATAATAAAGAATGCGACTCGCGGAAGAAGGTGCTGCAAGTCCGCGGCCTTTATATTCTCCACAAGATGGTGATCTCATTTATTTCGGGTGGTCTGCACAGACAGGAAGTGATGTAAAGCACAGACAGGAAGTGATATAAATGTATATGGAACTCTATGGAAGAAGGTGCTGCGAGTCCGCAGGCTGCGGCCTTTATATTCCCCACAAGATGGAGATCTCACTTATTTCGAGTGGTCTGCACAGACAGGAAGTGATGTAAAGTACAAACAGGAAGTTCCGGGTGAAAGGTTGAGGGTTGACAGGAAGTAGAGAGGAGGCATTGCTTAAATGGTCAGCAGAGGAGGTGAGATGTTTTATATTTGTGCTGGGTAACCCAGATGCAGCCCAAATATGGAGCCATTTATACGTGCCCCCCACCCCGGAGACCGTCCTAGAATTTGGGATAGAATCCCTTAGTTTTGGGGGTCCCGGACAAGTCCCTATGTAGGATCAGTATAGGCGATGAGGTCACCAACACATCAGGGTAACCCTGGCGTGATGATGACCTCATGCTCTCTCTTGTCTTTGCTGCTCCACCCCACCGGCAGTGACCAGGAAGAGATACGTCAGTATGGGGGTACAGGACGGGGGGGTATAGTAGTATGGGGTATGGTAGGGGGGTATAATATGATGGTATGGGGTATGGTATCAGGTATAGTGGGGTAGAGTATTGGGGTACGGTATTGGGGGTATAGTAGGGGGGTATGGTATGATGGTAGGGTATGTGCGTTTGGTATCAGGTATAGTGGGGTAGGGTATGGGGGTATGGTATGATGGTAAGGTATGAGGGTATGGTTAAGGGGGTATACTATGATGGTATGGGGTATAGTATCAGGTATAGTGGGGTACAGTATGGGGTATGATGGTAGGGTATGGTATCAGGTATAGTGGGGTACAGTATGGGGTTATAGTATGGGGTATGATGGTAGGGTATGGGCGTATGGTATCAGGTATAGGGGGAACAGTATGGGGGGTATAGTATAGGGGTACAGTATGGTATGATGGTAGGGTATAGGGGTACGGTATTGGGGGAACAGTATGGGGGGTATAGTATAGGGGTACAGTATGGTATGATGGTAGGGTATAGGGGTACGGTATTGGGGGAACAGTATGGGGGTACAGTATGCGCTCCATCAGCTTCCACAGTATGCAGAGGTGACACTCCGGATCTAATAGACCCCCGATGTCTTCCTCCCGGAGACGAGTCACCCCGTCCAGATCATTCTCAATCTGCAGAGAAGAGCGTCCTGTATAGAGGAGGTGAGGAGCATTGTAGGAGGTCACATGACATCCCTCTGACCCCCCCTGTGATAAAAATAGAGACCTACCAGGAGAGGTGAGGAGGATTCTGGGAGCTCGGGAGGGACAATTCTCACTCTCTGTCCTTACGCAGGATTATAATGTGAAGGAAACATCAGAAGAGCCGCCAACACCCAACAGCCGTCTTCCCATCCCCCGTCACAGGGCCTCCACCTCACCGCCTGACCACCGAGACCAACCGCGGCATGAAGATTCCAGGTGACTGTGTGTCAGGTTCCTATAAGGGGTCAGGGTGTCTCTGATGGAGGAGAGAGATCTCTGCAAGGGAACCAAGATGGAGGATGAGCCGCCCCTCACATCACCGGGTAAGAGGAGAGAGCAGTACGGAGGGTCCACCTAGATCCCCCATCATCTGATACACACATAGAAACAATGTATTCAGTCAGTGTGTGTGTTTCCTACAGATGGATCCAGTAAGAGGAACCCACCAGAGAGATGTCCCCGTCCTCTGTATTCCCAGGATTCCACACAGGAACATCATGAGATCCCTCACCATGGTCAGGTAGGTGGGACTGGGCCTATGAGAGGACATCCTTCCATGTGATCTCTCGCTCCTTCTTACGAATGTGTTCTGTCATCTTTGGTGTTTAGGGTGAAGAACTGGAAGACATGAAAGTTGAGGTGAAAGAGGAAGAAGAAGAGACGTTGGTGGGCGGAGCTCCGCGGTCTATGGAGGAGGGGGAGGTGACGGTGAAGCAGGAGGAATCTTCTCCACACGTGGACACCAGTAAGTCATCAACACTAAATACAGAAACAGGTCACGTCTTCATTTTGTGGGGTTCCCCGTCAAAGTCATAGCAGGCCCTTAAGGTCTGGTCGGAATTTTGAGGGACCCCACACCTAAAAATGAGGGGGAAAAAAACATGGTGTCCCCCCTAAAATTCCATAACAGACCCTTGATCCAAGCAGGGCAGGAGAGAGGAGGGACAAGGTAGCCCCCCGCCATACCAGGCCACATGCCCTCAGCACTGGGAAGGTCGCCCCAAGACAACACCTTGTCCCCGTGCCGATGGGCACAAGGGCCTCTTCCCCACGAGCCCTGGGACGTTGGTTGTGGGGGGGGTGCGGGCAGGGAGGAGGGGCCTATTCAGATCTTTAATAAAGGGACACCCAGATGCGGCCCCGCCCCTTTGTGAATGAGTAAGGGGGACTTGTCCTGCTACCCAATCACTAAAGGGTTAAATCAAATTGTAAAAAAAGAGGCGGGACTTTTGAAAAAATCCTTTTATTTGGACAAAGAAACCCCAAAAAATTGATCCACCGATGAAATCCGGCGCCAATCACGGCGCCCAGCGTTGTCCACGGCGACTAAATAAAACAATAACAAATAAAAACCGACGTCTGCTGAATGGCATTCTGACAGATGCCGGTGTTCTATCGAAAGCTCCAACTCATCGAGATCTCCAACCACCTCACGTGCGGTGCTCAGGAAGACTTGGCGCTCTGTACGCATGCGCGCGCAGCGGTTTCCGCATACTCCTCGGGTTTTGCCGCCTGCAGGATATCGTTACCATGCAGCTGTACGGAGCTCCGTCAGTCTTTGCGATTTGCAGTCTGACGCCGTCTGGTCGAAAATCTCCGACTTGCAAGTAACCGGCGGTGAGGTAGTTGGAGATTACGACGAGTTGGAGCTTTCGATAGAACACCGGCAACATGTAAACAATTGGGACGGAGCTAGCGGTCCCAATTGTTGGGGGGCGTGATTGGGCAAAGTCATCATGACTCTAAGAGCCAATCATGGCTCTTACAGAGTACTGGGTCCTGATTGGGCAAAGCCTCCTGTGGTCAGGTGCAAGGCTTCAGCCAATCGGGGCTTCACAAGGCGCAGTGCCTCATGCGGGGTGCTCGGCGGGCCAATAGCGAACATCGTGCCCATCCCTAATGAAAGGCCCGCCTCCACTCCTCAGTGTCCAATGTCATGTGATGTGGTCAGGTGCAAGGCTTTAGCCAATCAGGGCTCAGAAGGCGCAGTGCCTCGTGCTGGGCGGGCCAATAGCAAACATCGGGCCCATCCCTAATGAAAGGCCCGCCTCCATTCCTCGGTGTCCAATGTCATGTGGTGTGATCTCTCTTCTCGCAGGCGGTGGGTATCCCGGCAGAACGTCGGGGGGAGATCTCGCTTCACCTCCAGATTGTGACACCAAAAGTACGGACCTCAGACAACATTCTCCTGGAGTGAATCCTACGACGGAAACAAAAAGGGAGCCGGAAGAACCTCCTAACCAATCCGGTGCTGACACATCGGACCTCCATCTCGGTTCAGGAGAGGACTCGTTGTCACTCTTGAAGTGCGGGAAATCTTTCACCGAGGATGGAGAACTTCTCAGACATTCAGGTGACGATTCATATTCATGCTCAGAGTGCGGGAAAAGTTTCTCTCACCGAAGAAGCCTTTTAAACCACCAGAGGAGTCACCGAGGCGAGCGGTCTTATTCGTGTCCGGAGTGCGGGAAATGTTTTACTCTAAAAGGAAACTTTCGAAATCACCTGAAAAGTCACCGAGGCGAAGGTTCTTATTCATGTTCGGAGTGCGGCAAACGGTTTACTCACAAAGGAAACCTTGCGAAGCACCAAAGATTTCACACGGACCAGCGTACTTATTCGTGTTCCGATTGCGGCAAACGCTTTACGCACAAAGGAAACTTTCTCAGCCACCAAAGAATTCACACGGGCGTGCGTCCTTATTCATGTTCAGACTGTGGGAAGTGTTTCACACGCAAAACCACCCTTCAAAAACACCATCGCGTTCACACAGGTGAGCGTCCGTATACATGTTCACAGTGCGGAAAATGTTTCTCTGTGAAAGAAAAGCTCCAAAGACACCAGAAAAGTCACATGGGCGATTGTCATAACAAAGGATCCCTTCGTAGACCCCAGAGAAGTCACTCGGGCAAGCGTCTTTATTCTTGTACAGAGTGTGGGAAGTGTTTCTGTTGGAAAATACAGCTGCTCAGACACCAGATTCGTCACACCGGCAATTATCCGTATTCATGTTCAGAGTGTGGGAAATGTTTCACTGTGAAAGGAGAACTTCTTATACACCAGAGAAGCCACACTGGCGAACGTCCTTATTCTTGTTCGGAGTGCGGGAAATGTTTCATTGCAAAAAGAAACCTTCTTACACACCAAAAAATTCACACGGGCGAGCGTCCTTATTTATGTTCAGAGTGCGGGAAATGTTTCCCTTCAAAAGCAAAACTTCTCATACACCAGAGAAGCCACACGGGCGAGCGTCCCTATTCGTGTTCAGAGTGCGGGAGATGTTTCTCTGTGAAAGGAAGCCTTCTTAGACACCAGAGAGTACACACGGGCGAGCGTCCTTATTCATGTTCAGACTGCGGGAAATGTTTTTCAGTAAAAGGAAAGCTTTTTAAACACCAGAGAAGTCACACAGGAGAGCGCCCTTATCCGTGCACAGAGTGCGGGAAAGGTTTTAAACAGAAAAGCCATCTGAGTAGACATCAGACAACACACGCCTGCTGACGCTGTTCACAGATGTACGGTGCAACAGGATGATATTTTTTAGGCATTCGTGCAGCAGTATCATAGAAACGGGATCTTACATCCCTGTAAAAATGATATTTTAGTTCTAGGGGGAGCTGGGCTTGCTTAGTCATCTGCTGGCTTCTTCTAGTTCTTGTGATATCTGCCTGCTACAGTTCCCGACTCCTTTCCCGCACGCCTTGGGGCCTGTTAGAGGTGACAGGCTTTTCTGATCGGGCACTTTGACCGTGTCGGCCATATTGATTGTTCACTTCCATTTCACCTCCATTCCCGCTATGACTTCAGATAACAAAATATATCAGTTTTGGGTACAAACACTTTTATTTGGCAGTATTGTCTGGAAAAAAATGTTTGATTAATAATTAAAATAAAAAATAAATAAATGAATAATTACAAAAAGATAAAATGTTTTGTAGATAAAAGTGCACATTTTGGTCCAGGGTCTCCGTTCTCAGACCACTAACATGATGTTTCTATTACACAACAAAGTGAAAGGTTTTTTTTTTTCTTTTTTAAAATATTTTTTTGGGGTTTTTCCCCCCAACATGCGTCACTAAAAATGTGAAGAAACAAAACAAATGAAAAAAGAAAAAAAAAAGGGAGGAGAGACAGCCTGGGGAGAGAGAGGGAGGAGAGACAGCCAGGGGAGAGAGAGGGAGGAGAGACAGCCAGGGGAGAGACTGAGGAGAGACAGCCTGGGGAGAGAGAGGGAGGAGAGACAGCCTGGGGAGAGAGAGGGAGGAGAGACAGCCAGGGGAGAGAGAGGGAGGAGAGACAGCCTGGTGAGAGAGAGGGAGGAGAGACAGCCTGGGGAGAGAGAGGGAGGTGAGACAGCCAGGGGAGAGAGGGAGGAGAGACGGCCAGGGGAGAGACAGCCTGGAGAGAGAGAGGGAGGAGAGACAGCCTGGGGAGAGAGAGGGAGGAGAGACAGCCTGGGGAGAGAGAGGGAGGAGAGACAGCCTGGGGAGAGAGAGGGAGGAGAGACAGCCAGGGGAGAGACTGAGGAGAGACAGCCTGGGGAGAGAGAGGGAGGAGAGACAGCCAGGAGAGTGAGGAGAGACAGCCAGGAGTGTGAGGAGAGACAGCCAGGGGAGAGAGAGTGAGGAGAGACAGCCAGGGGAGAGGGAGGAGAGACAGCCAGGAGAGGGAGGAGAGACAGCCTGGGGAGAGAGAGGGAGGAGAGACAGTCAGGAGAGGGAGGAGAGATAGCCAGGGGAGAGACAGCCTGGGGAGAGAGAGGGAGGAGAGACAGCCAGGAGAGTGAGGAGAGACAGCCAGGAGAGTGAGGAGAGACAGCCAGGAGAGAGAGAGCGTCAGGAGAGGGAGGAGAGATAGCCAGGGGAGAGACAGCCTGGGGAGAGAGAGGGAGGAGAGACAGCCAGGAGAGTGAGGAGAGACAGCCAGGAGAGTGAGGAGAGACAGCCAGGAGTGTGTGCCCTTCAGGACTTATCTGCACCCCGTGTTTCAGACACATCCTTGCTCCCTGAGTTCCAGCGCCCCTCCATGTCCCGTGCCGCCTCCATGTCCCGTGCCTCCTCCATGCTCCTGTCCACCTGACATTTTGTGGCCGGGTGTCATCTGGCCTGAAACTGGAACACAGAACAGACTGAAAGCCCGGACCAGCCCCCGTGGCTAATACACCTGACTAGAGAGCGCCTCTGCCTGTGTTCAGCTCAGCAGTCCCAGAGGGCCATCGGGCATACCAAGTCAATCCTGGCTGGCCCGGGCCTATTTTCAGGGGTGGGCTGGAGCTCTAGTAGCCCCTATGATTATCCGGCCCCCACGTGCACCACAAGGCATGGTAACATGATGTCCAAAGAGACTGTCCAGGAGTAAACCCAATACCCAAAATATAGATCCAGAACTTCACAGACCATAGAGATGACCGGATCTCTCCGATCCTGGGGAATATTATACATAAGGTATGATGGCGGATGAGACACTTTCCTGTAAAATAAAGACACGCCCCCGCCAGAAGCCATATTGGAGTCCTGAGTGTAGAAGGGGCAGCATGTGAATGCCGTGCTAGTGTCAGCTTAGAAATACAGAAAGAAACAAGTCCATCCATACCAGCGATGCTGCCTAAGAGGGATTTGGGCTCTTTCCTCCAGACGTGTGCTGCGGGTGGCATCACCCTGCTGTCTCCATACTTGGGTCTTTCGGAACCTCTACAGCTGCAAAGCCCCTCCCACTACATCTCTTATTCAAGGTGTTCCTCAACCTTGGGTCCTGGATCCCACCTGAGTGAGTCTGAGACCTTCGAGATGACATTTCTCAAATAATGGTCTGTACCCGTTGTGTAGATCTGCCAGTGACCGCCCCTAAGCAGGAGAACTACTAGACCTGTAGAACAGGGGTAGCCAAACTCCGGCCCTCCAGCTGTGGTGAAACTACAATTCCCATGATGCATCTCTCTTCGGGAGTCGTGGATGTGGATGAATCTTGCAATGCCTCATGGGATTTGTGGTTCCACCACAGCTGGAAGGCCGGGGTTTGGCTACCCCTGCTGTGGAAGTTTACCTCTTACCTATAAAGAGTCTACTTCTCCCCCTGGGCTGGCTGTACACTCAATCTGTCAAACTGACCAAATGGCTTCAATCCTTCTAAAGTCTCTGCACCCCAGAGGTGGACCCCTTCCTGACGGAGCAGATGTCTGGAGCTTAATGCACTTTAACAATACGCCTGGTATTGGCCGCGGTACGTTGATGACATCTTCTTGCCATTGTCCATTGGGCCACATGTGACCTTTTCTATGTTCTTGGATTCTTTGCATGCGAAATGTCCTTTCATCCTTCCAAGCACATCGGAGTTTGGAATGAGTTCCTTTTGCCGATACTCTGGTGTGTGGAGGAGGTGAGCTTAATGGTTCAGTTGTGACGGCCTGCTGGAAGCATCTAAGGCCCGGGTTGAGGTCGTAGCTCAGACACTTGTAGACTCGACCGATGCCAGCCGAGTGACTAACCGAGCCCAAGTGAGCCAAACGCTGTTCAGCCAATCACTTCTGGCTTCTACGGCTGATTTCAGACGCACATCGGCTGCCTTCGGTCAACCGAACATGCTCTGCGCCGAAGTGCAGAAGGAGTTCCGCTCGGCCGATCCAACATCTGGATCGCCTGAGCCGAGGCTCCGGCAGCTAGCTCGCTGCCGTCCACCCCTACTCACGTATATTCTCATAGGAGTGAATAGCCGAATTCCTCAGACCCGACCGCACGCAATGCACTCCTGCCCGCATAGGGAATCATCTGACAGATGCCGGCGAAATGAAAACAATCGGGCGGAGCTAGCGGTGACATCACTGCTAGCTCCGCCCAACTGTTTCCTGTTGGCCAGAGTCTTCTAGCAGGTCCCGGCCGAATAACAACTGGGCGGAGCAGCCGGCTCCGCCCAGTTGTTATTGTTTAATGACAGCTCAGCGCCCCCAGGTCATTTGGGGACTCTGATCTGTCGTTACAACTGGGCGGAGCCGGCCGTGAGGTCACGGCTGGCTCCGCCCAGCTGTCATTGTGCGTGGAGATCGGTCGGCTTTGGCTTCGGCTGTCACTTGGGCTCAGTCGAGCTGAAACATATGCGTTCGGCTGCTGTATTGTGAATAGCCCCGTACAGCAGCCCTTCGGGTTCGACGGAACCAAGGGGCTCCGGCGGCCGAAGGATCAGCGCAAGCTACGTCTAAACATTTGGATTTCATAGGAAATGCGTCAGAGTGCGATTGTAATAATTTAACACAAAGACCTGATTATTATTATTACAAGCGGCAAATTGTGATGTATACAACGTAATACAGGAACTCTTGTTTGCTATGAGAGAAACGTACAGACAGGAAGTGACATTGAGGTATAAAAAAGGAAGTTCCGGGTGAGAGGTCAGCTGGGAGGAAGTAGAGAGGAGACATTGTTGAAACTGGCAGCAGAGAAGGTAATAAGATATTATTTTATATTTACACCCGGCAGCCTCCCTGGTTGTGCCATCCAGAGCCGCCATTTATAGACCGGATACATCCTAAATATAGAGCCATTTATCCAACTGTCCATCCAGAGCCGCCATTTATAGACCGGATACATCCTAAATATTAAACCATTTATCCAACCGTCCATCCAGAGCCGCCATTTATAGACCGGATACATCCTAAATACAGATTGTAGATCATTTTCACCTTATTTTCTCCTAGAGTCGTTCATTATGCAGATAACATGGCCACATCGATGAAGATTGACAGGAATCGGAGTCACATGACCGAGAAGATACTAAATCTCACCCTGGAGATCATCTACCTGCTGACCGGAGAGGTGAGGAAGATTCTGGGAGGTCACATGACATCACCGTTACCTCCTTTGAACTACAAACCTGAATGTAGAGGTTTCCTATATACTGATGAAGTATTCTGGCTGTGAGGAGGGTGTTGTGTTGGCAATGTGCGCAGAGATGATTGTTTCCGTCTTTGTGTACGCAGGATTACGAGGTAGTGAGGAAGACATCTGGAGAGGGATTAGTCCCCATCAACTGTCCCTATGGGCCTTCCACCACCCCGTTGTCTCCACATTCATCCATGACGTCTGACAGAAATGACAAGAAGATTCTAGAAGTCACCCAGAAGATTATTGAGCTGCTGTCAGGAGAGGTGAGCAGTGCCGGGAATTCTGGGACATGATCCGGGAACAGACAAGGGGTGTGTCTGGGTGGTGACGGGAGAGGTGAGCGGTGCCGGGAATTCTGGGACATGATCCAGGAACAGACAAGGGATGTGTCTGGGTGGTGACTGTATCATTGTGTGTGTCAGGTTCCTATAAGGTGTCAGGATGTCTCTGTCTATTTCTCCATGGAGGAGTGGGAGTATCTAGAAGGACACCGGGATCTCTACAAGGACGTCATGATGGAGAACCGGCCGCCCCTCACATCACCGGGTAAGAGGAGAGAGCAGTACGGAGGCTCCACCTACATCCCCCATCATCTGATACACACATAGAAACAATGTATTCAGTCAGTGTGTGTGTTTCCTACAGATGGATCCAGTAAGAGGAACCCACCAGAGAGATGTCCCCATCCTCTGTATTCCCGGGATTCCACACAGGAACATCATGAGATCCCTCAGACCCGTCCTCTGTATTCCCGGGATTCCACACAGGAAGATCTCACCGTCCCTCCCCATGATCAGGTAGATGGGACTGATGTTCTAGACCTCAGAAGCCAACTCTTAGGACCTCCTCACATCTGTCTATTCCACTGCATTGCATTAACGAGTGTGTTCCATTACAACCAGTCCAAATAAAAGGGCCACCAATGCCCAAAAAAGCATTCTTTCCAGCACGGTGCACCACAACACACATCAGAGCTGCGTTGCCTTCATAATGAATGGCACTACGAGACGCTACGGCAGTAATGTGCATTGAGGTAACGCCAGCGGTACTGCAAAGCACGGCACTGGAAAGAATATATTCTTGTATGTAGTCTCTGAGTCTCCGAATTTTAAATATGTTACTTGCTATCGTTCTGCTGTTTTAGGGTGAAGACGTTATTGATGTGAAAGTTGAGATTCAAGACGAAGAGGAGATGTATGTGAGGGGTGATGAGCCGTCTGCTGGAGAGGATGAAATCATCCTGACAGTTAAAGGGGAAGAACCCTCCTCAGATATCAACACTGGTAAGACATTAACTCCTAGGTCCATCTCCATTCCTCAATATAACATCATGTGACCAACACATGAGGAGGAGATACTGTACACCATATGAAGGTCCATCTCCATTCCTCAATATAACATCATGTGACCAACACATGAGGAGGAGATACTGTACACCATATGAAGGTCCATCTCCATTCCTCAATATAACATCATGTGACCAACACATGAGGAGGAGATACTGTACACCATATGAAGGTCCATCTCCATTCCTCAATATAACATCATGTGACCAACACATGAGGAGGAGATACTGTACACCATATGAAGGTCCATCTCCATTCCTCAATATAACGTCATGTCCCCAACAAATGAGGAGGAGATACTGTACACCATATGAAGGTCCATCTCCATTCCTCAATATAACGTCATGTGACCAACAAGTGAGGAGGAGATACTGTACACCATATGAAGGTCCATCTCCATTCCTCAATATAACGTCATGTGACCAACAAATGAGGAGGAGATTCTGTACACCATATGAAGGTCCATCTCCATTGACTGTTAGACCATGGACTCTTAATAGGTTTTTAATAATAATGAAATCTCTCCGACAGATGGCCATATTTTGGATCCCTTAGAGGAACATCTAATATTCTCTGCGGACTATAAAGTGGACAAGGATGACATCAGAGAATGTTCTCCAGGAGCATGCCCCATAGTTCCAAATCCATATCATGGACATTATTGTGTAGACAGATCGACAGATCCCTCAGCACTGAAGGAATCTCCTGAAAGGTCACGTACTACCACCCCCAATATCCATCTAAGATCTCACAGTGGAGACAGATCACAAGATCCATCTAATCCTGAGGAATCTCCTCCAAGAGTAGACTTCACCGCTGCAAGTCATCACAGACCCTCCAGTGCCAATAGATATCCGGATCGCATGAATGTTGAGGAATCTTCTTCGGATGATCCAAATGCTGGTCTATCGAGAGACAACGATCCCTTTCTATGTTCTGAACGTGAGAAGTGTTTTAGGAAGAGGTCACGCCTTGTTGTCCATCAGAGGACGCACGCCCACGAGGGGCCATTTTCAGATTGTGAGAAAGCTTCTCCACGTCGCTCAGCACAGGCCGCGCACCACAACCGGGGGTGGCCCTATCGCTGCTCGGAGTGCGGGAAATCTTTGAAGACAAAATGCGAGCTGCGTGTACATCAGAGGACTCACACCGGCGAGGAGATCTTCTCGTGCACGGAGTGCGATAAATCCTTCACGGCAAAGTCGCAGCTCAAGAAACACCAGAAGTATCACACCAGGGAGAAGCCGTTCTCGTGTCCCCAGTGCAAGAAGTCGTTTATGGAGAAGTCGCAGTTCGTGGCACACCAGAGGTCTCACAGCGGAGAGAAGCCCTTCCACTGCGATGAGTGCGGGAAATCCTTCGCCACCAAATCATATCTTGTTAGGCATCAAAAAGTTCACACTGGTGAAAAGCCTTTTCCGTGTTCCGAGTGCAAGCTGTCCTTCACGACCATATCAGGTCTTGTCAAGCACCAGAGAGTCCACACCGGTGAGAAGCCCTTTTCGTGTCCTCAGTGCGGGAAAAGTTTCTCACAAAAAGGACACCTCATTACCCATTTGAAGCGGCACACCGGTGAAATGCCCTTTTCGTGTTCAGAGTGCGGGAAGTGTTTCACTTCAAGTGGACACCTTCTCACACACCAGCGAACCCACACGGGCGAGCGTCCTTTCTCGTGCCAGGAGTGCGGGAGAAGCTTCACTCAGGAAGTCAACCTTCTCAGACACCAGAGAAGTCATAAAGGCGAACGTCCCTTTTCCTGTTCAGAGTGTGGAAAACGTTTCATCGACAAAGCCTACCTGCTTGTACACCAGAGGAATCACACCGGCGAGCGCCCTTTTGCCTGCTCAGAATGTAAGAAGTGTTTCACGCGGAAGGGGCGCCTCCTCAAACACCAGAGGAGCCACACGGGCGAGCGACCTTATTCATGCTCATTGTGTGGAAAAAGCTTCACTGAGAAAGTACACCTTATTACGCACCAGAGGACTCACACAGGCGAGCGCCCTTTTTCCTGCCCAGAGTGCGGGAAACGTTTTGGCGACAAAAGAAACCTTCTTAGACACCAAAGGCTACACACGGTCAAGCGTCCTTTTCACGCTGAGAATGCAGAAAGTGCGTTGTGTTAATAAAACGTTGTCTGGCACAAGAGGAAAGTCAGTTGAGTGAGCATTTTTTTTTAAATCTCCGGTGGGAAGGAAATATTCTACAAAGTTGTATTGAGCATCACACAATGGCTTCATAGGCTGTATTTTTCTGTCCATTTTTTAAGGGCAGGTCCACATTTTTAAAAGGTATAAGCCAGGGGTAGGCAACCTCGGCACTCCAGCTATGCTGACAGTACAAATCCGATGGTCTCCGCCTCTAGGTGTCATGCCCGTGGCTGTCAGAGTCTTGCAATACATTGTAAGCCCCGGTAAAAAAATTAAAAAAAGACCTTGGTCCTTCAGGGGTTAAGGGTGTCACCTTTCCGGGCAGGTTCACACCATTTCCCGGACCAGATCTGGTCTGAAAAATGGTGTGAACCGGCCCGCAGTTCCAGACCAGACAAAATGAGTCATGGAGTGTTGGTCTGGTCTGGAATGGCCTGCTCTGGTGTGAACAGAGGCCAGAAATAGCATAGGGATACATTCGGATGCATTTTGGGTCTGGTCTGGAGATGATCCGGATGTAGTGTGAATGGGCCCTCCAACAAGTAACTTCTTCAGATGTCTAGCTCGGTAGAACCTCCCTGCGATGGGGTGATAGAGCTGGTGAGTCCTGAACATCTATGGTAGGAAAAGGGATTCCATCTGCGTGACCATCCAACAAATCCCACCAAAAACGTTCCAGAAGTGTAGAGGTCCTTGTGGTACCATAGAGAGGGACATCTTCATAGTCATACCCTTCTCTTCAGGATGAGATGGCGGACAGATACATGTGATGCCAAACCTTTAGCCAACACCTTGCTTTGGGGTAAGATGCAACTAGCGTCATGCTCCATCTTCTTCTGGAGTCATGCGCTGGGGCATGCAAAGCAAAGGCGCGTTTGGTTCCCGTAGCAACGACGGTGGCTTTGGTGGGGCAGAACGTTCAGAATCTGCACCGGGAGCTGCATCCAAAACTCCAAAATCAGTTTTCCCCATGAGCAAATATCAATCTCACGTGTGGTGAGACCAATCCGCTGAGGAGATTTACCCCTCCATGAATGCTGCGGTTGTCACCAGAGCAAATGTTGTGGATGTCACCAGAGCAAATGCTGCAGTTGTCACTAGAGCAAATGTTGTAGTTGTCACCAGAGCAAATGTGGATGTCACCAGAGCAAATGTTGCGGATGTCACCAGAGCAAATGCTGCAGTTGTCACCACAGCAAATGTTGTAGTTGTCACCAGAGCAAATGTTGCGGATGTCACCAGAGCAAATGTTGTGGATGTCACCAGAGCAAATGTTGCAGTTGTCACCAGAGCAAATGTTGTGGATGTCACCAGAGCAAATGTTGCGATTGTCACCAGAGAAAATGAGGATGTCATCAGAGCAAATGTTGCGATTGTCACCAGAGCAAATGTTGCATTTGTCACCAGAGCAAATGTGGATGTCACCAGAGCAAATTTTGCGGTTGTCACCAGAGCAAATGTTGTGGATGTCACTAGAGCAAATGTTGCGGTTGTCACCAGAGCAAATGTGGATGTCACCAGAGCAAATGTTGCGCATGTCACCAGAGCAAATGCGGTTGTCACCAGAGCAAATGTTGTGGATGTCACCAGAGCAAATGTTGCAGTTGTCACCAGAGCAAATGTTGTGGATGTCACCAGAGCAAATGTGGATGTCACCAGAGCAAATGTTGCGATTGTCACCAGAGCAAATGTGGATGTCACCAGAGCAAATGTTGCGATTGTCACCAGAGCAAATGTTGCAGTTGTCACCAGAGCAAGTGCAGTTGTCACCAGAGCAAATGTTGTGGATGTCACTAGAGCAAATGTTGCGGTTGTCACCAGAGCAAATGTGGATGTCACCAGAGCAAATGTTGCGGATGTCACCAGAGCAAAGGTGAGGGGAAATCCTCCAATGGGAAGAAAGGTTCCGGTGTCGAAGATGGGAGTTGCCCTCGCTTGGGTGAAATTTTCTCCCGGAAAGCAAGTATAGATTTATCTTCTTCCAAGTTCTTAGTAAGGACACCAAACAAAAAGGAATTTTGTGTCCGGTCCGGTTGTATTTGATAACAATTGATATCCTACACAAACACGAGTGCGTAAGGGCAGTAGATACATATAGTCCCCTACCATGAACTATTTAAAATACCAGTACAAGCCGCACCACCACACTGGTGAGTACAGAGATGGGAGTCCCACATATTAGGGGACCAGTTATCCCTCTTTCCCACGGAGTTCCCACCAAAAACCGGTCCACAACATCTAGAAGAAGCCAATGGAGGCTCACCAGACTCCGCCTATAACTTCACTTCTGGGTGGACTTACCCTTAAAAAGTCACCTGAAAGGAGAACTATGAGGGGTGTGCTTTTCACTCACCTCATAGTTCCAGCCGACCTGTGACAATGAGACTGTCATAGGTCGGCTCAGTAGAGAACACATACCGGCGTTCGCTCACCTCTCGATCCTGTCACAGCTCTCTGCCGTGACAGGGGGAGGGGCTGGATTCCCCCCTCCCCGCTCCGATCCTCCAGCGCTGACTGGCAGAACGGACGGGGGAGGGTACAGCTGGCTCTGCCTCTAGATAGGCAGAGCCAGCTGTCACTCACGCAGCTGGGCGGATCCAATTGTCGGGATCCGCTTCTGCTGCGGCATCTCAGTATACCACGAGCTGCAGCTCGCTATATACTGAGCTTAGGGTGACGGGAGGACGCTAGTTTGTGTCCTCCCGTTACCCTCAGGAGAACTATGGGGAAAAGCCCTAACCCCATAGTTCTCCTTGAACTTCTCACTGCCACACTGATAACAGCTGCATATCGTTTCCCCACACATTCATTCTGCAGAAGTGAAAGTGAAAGTAACAATCTGTGCTGTGAGCGGCTGGTCCGGGCTGATCGCTCAGATCTGGGCTCTACTCTCTGTACTGATCACTTACAGGAAATGTGGCAGAATCTCCAGGGAGAAGAGGAAGTTTCAATGTCTTTTGATGGAAATATAAAGATAGATGATCCCCCCCCCCAGTGTCGTCCTCACATACGGGAATGTTTCCTTTTCCTCTGGTACAGATATTTGGAAGTGTGGGAAGAGTACTCTGGACCTGTGTAGTCATTCTCTTGGAGGGTTATTCACTATTGAGCCGTAGCTTCCGCTGATCCTTCGGCCACCTGAGCCCTTCGTAGTGCTGCTGTACGGGGCCATTCACAATAGCCCGTGGGGCCGCCGAGCCGAAGGCATATGCTTCAGCTCCACTGAGCCGAAGAGTGGAGAACAGCATGCCGAAGGGCCGACCTTTCTCCATGCAAATGACAGCTGGTACCCCTTACTCATTCACAAGCGGGGGCATTTGGGTGCTTCTTTATTGAAGGGTTACCCCGATGTGAATAAGACCCCCCCTCCCCCCTGACTGCATAGGGTTAGCACCTTTTCTTCAAGCAAAACCTGAACACTCTAGCGATGCACGGACATTTTTTGGGGGAGAATGAGTCGTGGCTTCTTTATATGTAAATAGCTCCGCCCATTCATATGTAAATATCGCAGTAGAGACTATTTTCAGTGGGGGCCCGGAGCCCCTATCTTAATTTTGGTTGCCCCCGTCTGCCTGGCATCTTGTGTCCGGGTTTCTGCTGCCATGAAACCCGGACACGGCATTCAAAACCCGGACTGTCCGAGTGAATCCTGGACAGGTGGCAACCCCATGCCCGCACCTCTACAACCAACGCCCCAGGGCTTGTGGGGAAGAGGCCCTTGTCCCCATCGGCACGGGGGACAAGGCGCTTTTCCAGGGGCGACCCTCCCAGGGTGTTAATTTCTTTGTCTAGATTTTATCGTAAGGTCTCATCTGCGTGTGTAGTCATGGATGTGACGTGACCGAGGAACGGACCGTGAGACGTAGCGTAGGATGCGTTATTTATATTCAACACATGGTGGCGATCTCACACAAAAAAATCTACAGACAGGAAGTGATGTAGGGAAAAGATGGGAAGTGATGTAAGGACAAAATGGGAAGTGATGTCAGAGTATAAACAGGAAGTTCCAGGTGAGTAGAGAGGAGACATTGCTGGAATTGGCAGCAGAGGAGGTAATAAGATACCGATACCGGAGGTCCCATTAAGGAAGCCAGGCGGCGTGAAATGACTCGCCACCCGGCTTCCCGATCTGCAGGGAGGCCGGCTCCATGCTCCCTCGTCACCAGGTGACGAGACAGCAGGGAGTCGGCTTTCTGGGCAACCAGAAAGCCGGGTGCTGTGTAATGACGTGTTGCCTGGCTTCCGGATTGGAATAATTGTTATCTTCTCCCTCTAATCAGGATTACAGGAAAGCGACAAATATATCCTGCCAGCCAATAACGCCCAACAGCTGACTCCAGAAGACGTCATCCATCACTGAGCCTCCACCTCACCGCCCGACAGCAGAGGTCATCTGTGTTCAAAATGTTCTTGAAGTCTGACAAGGACGTGGTGATGGAGAATGAGCCGCCCCTCACATCACCGGGTAAGAGGAGAGAGCAGTACGGAGGGTCCACCTAGATCCCCCATCATCTGATACACACATAGAAACAATGTATTCAGTCAGTGTGTGTGTTTCCTACAGATGGATCCAGTAAGAGGAACCCACCAGAGAGATGTCCCCGTCCTCTGTATTCCCGGGATTCCACACAGGAACATCATGAGATCCCTCAGACCCGTCCTCTGTATTCCCGGGCTTCCACACAGGAACATCATGAGATCCCTCAGACCCGTCCTCTGTATTCCCGGGCTTCCACACAGGAACATCATGAGATCCCTCAGACCCGTCCTCTGTATTCCCGGGCTTCCACACAGGAACATCATGAGATCCCTCAGACCCGTCCTCTGTATTCCCGGGCTTCCACACAGGAACATCATGAGATCCCTCAGACCCGTCCTCTGTATTCCCGGGCTTCCACACAGGAACATCATGAGATCCCTCAGACCCGTCCTCTGTATTCCCGGGATTCCACACAGGAAGATCTCACCATCCCACATAAGGTGATAAAAAAATAGATAATAGCCGATACGTTCTGACCTGATCATTCTCTATGTAGTTACATCAGGTCTCATTGTTCTCAATATTCAGGGTATAAACCAGAGTGAGTGTGATAATGATGTTAAAGAGGAGATAAAAGAAGAAGAGGATGAGGTTGGTGTGATGGAGTTTTCAGAAGACTACAAAGACCCCTTCAAGGACGTCATGATGGAAGCATTCCGTGACACAAACCCACCGGAGAGATGTCCCCGTCCTCTGTATTCCCGGGATTCCACACAGGAAGATCTCACCGTCCCTCACCATGATCAGGTAGGTGGGACTCGGTATATGGAACACAGTAGTGTTCAGCCTGGTGACATCTGTACTCAGCTCTGGTGACATCTGTACTGAGCTCTGGTGACATCTGTACTCAGTTCTGGTGACATCTGCACTCAGCTCTGGTGACATCTGCACTCAGCTCTGGTGACATCTGTACTCAGCTCTGGTGACATCTGTACTCAGCTCTGGTGACATCTGTACTCAGTTCTGGTGACATCTGCACTCAGTTTATGGTGACATCTGCACTCAGCTCTGGTGACATCTGCACTTATCTCTGATGACATCTGCACTCAGCTCTGGTGACATCTGCACTCAACTCTGGTCACATCTGTAGTCAGCTCAGGTCACATCTGTAGTCAGCTCTGGTGACATCTGCACTCAGCTCTGGTGACATCTGCACTCAGCTCTGGTGACATCTGCACTCAGCTCTGGTGACATCTGCACTCAGCTCTGGTGACATCTGTAGTCAGCTCTGATATGATGGGCTGTGCAGGGTCCCTTTGCTCCTCTTACCTGCATCTCCCCAGCCTGCTTCCAGGACATACCGCTTCTTACTCCTGCCGCCAAAGCATCTTACTGGAGCCGCCTGCATCCCCCGCCGGCCGGGGCCGTCTCTTCCTCGGTCCCATCGTGTCTTCCCGCAGCCACAGAAGCTTCTTGGAGCGGCACCGCATCCACCGCCGGCTGGGGCTACTTCTCCCTCGGCTCCGGCCACGCCTCCTCGTACACCCGGCAGTTCACAGACCGGCCCCATTAGCAGCCACCTGATAAGGCAGCCGAGGTTGCTTGATCTTGTGCATCCGAAAAACGCCGCCCCCTGCAAAGTGCCGCTCCAGGCAAACGCCTTGTTTGCCTCACGGTAAATACGCCCCCGGCTGTATTCTTTGTCTCTCCCGGAGTTCAGCTTTATGAGATGTTTTCTATTATTTTGGGGTTTAGGGTGAAGAACGGAACAATATAAAAGCTGAGGTTAAAGAGGAAGAAGTGGAGACGTATGTGGGGGGTGACCGGCCGTCCACGGAGGAGGTCGGGATGATGATGATGAAAAGTGATCAGGATGACATTTCTCTACCGATCAACACAAGTAAGTAACAGACACTATGGAGGGAACAGGTCACAGTTCTGGGTCGGACCCCCGTTCACACTCAGCGATTTCAGCTCCAGAGCTCGCGGTCCCGGTATACTGAGACCGCCGCAGCCGGGACGGATCCCGACATTACTGTCCGGATCCGCCCAGCTGGGTGAGTGACAGCCTATCAGCTGTACCCGCCCCGTCCGTTCCGCCAGTCAGCGCTGGAGGATCGGAGAGGGGGGAAATCCCTGCAGGGAGCCGTGAGTGATGGTCACGGCTCTCTGCAGTGACAGGATCGAGAGGTGAGTGAACGCCGGTGTGTGTTCGCTCACTTCCCGATCTACTGAGGCGACCTGTGACAGTCTCATTGTCACACGTCCCCTCGAAGTATGAGGAAAAGTGACAATCGCTGACCTCATAGTTCTCCTTTAATATAATTCTTTCCATTTATTTGCCAATTTTCTCTCCAGCAGATGGATGTGATGTCAGGAATACCTCGGAGAGACATCTTATATTATCTGCCGACTGTAAGTCAGAAGATGATGTCATCACACAGGATTCTCCAGGAGTGAATCCAAATACACAAAATATACATCACAGACCTCACTGCTCGGAGACCTCAATGGATCCCTCTGATCGGGGTGAATCTTCTGATCATTCACATACTATGACTGGAAATATCCATCTAAGATCTCACACCGCATCTGATCCCACTTCCTCCCCCCAGGAAGGAGATCGCAGGGGTGGGGATCCGTTCTTGTGTTCAGTGTGCGGGAAATCTTTCACTGAAAGCAAAAATCTTCTCAGACACCACAAAAGTGCTTTTTTGTGTTCAGCGTGTGGAAAAGGTTTAACACTGATTGAGCACCAGAGTTTTCACGCGGGTGAAGGTCCCTTTTCCCGTTCCGAACGCGAAAAATGTTTTCCAGAGAAAAATGTTTTTCGGAGAAGTCGCACAGGTGAGGGGACCCATCCGTGTTCAGAGTGCGGGAAAGCTTTCACTCAGAAAGGAGACCTTGTTAAGCACCAGAGGATTCACACGGGCGAGCGGCTTTATGCGTGTGCAAAGTGCGGGAAATCTTTCATTCAAAAAATACACCTGGTTCTTCACCAGAGGATTCACACGGGTGAGCGACCTTATTCGTGTTCGGAGTGCGGGAAAGGTTTCATTCATAAAGGAGCCCTTGTTACGCACCAGAGAAGTCACACCGGTGAACGTCCTTATTCGTGTTCGGAGTGCGGGAAATCATTTATTCATAGACGAAATCTGGTCATACACCAGAAAATTCACACAGGTGAACGTGACTTTTCCTGTTCAGAGTGTGGGAAAAGTTTTTCTGAGAAGAGTAACCTTCTTAGACACCAGAGAATTCATACAGGTGAGGGAACCTATTCCTGTTCGGAGTGCGGGAAACGTTTCATTCATAAAAGAGACTTTGTTAACCACCAGATGATTCACACGGGGGAGCGGCCTTATTCATGTTCAGACTGCGGGAAATCGTTCATTCGTAAAGAACACCTTGTTATGCACCAGAGGATTCACACAGGCGAGCGTCCCTATTCATGTTCAGAGTGCGGGAAATCATTTATTCATAAAAGAGCTCTTGTTAACCACCAGAGAATTCACACGGGTGAGCGACCTTACTCTTGTTCAGAGTGCGGGAAATCATTCACTGAGAAAGGAGCCCTTGATAAGCACAAGAGAAGTCACACTGGTGAGCGGCCTTATTCATGCTCAGAGTGCGGGAAATCTTATGTTCAGAAAGAAGCCCTTGTTAAACACCAGAGAAGTCACACAGGTGAACGTCCTTTTACATGTACAGACTGCGGGAAATCTTTCACTGAGAAAGGATCCCTTGTTAAACACCAGAGGATTCACACAGGTGAACGCCCTTTTTCATGTACAGAGTGTGGGAAATGTTTCTCTCGTAAAGCAAACCTTGCTATACACCAGAGGATTCACACAGCTGAACAGCCTTAATCATGATCAGAGTGTGGGAAGGGTTTCACCCAGAAAGCAGCCCTTGTAAACACCAGAGGATTCACACAGGTGAACATCCTTTTCGATGTTCATAGTGTGGGAAATGTACACTTCTTAAACACCAGAAAAGACATACTACAGATCATCCTCACTGCTTTCTGATTGGGGGAAATGTCGAATTAAACTTCTTTCATCTGTAAAACATCAGAGAGGAAGTTCCTGCTGATTGTGTTGACGAATGAGGTGGATCAAGGGGTGCACTGATACCAATACCAGTAACGGAATCGGTACGGATACTGGACATTTTTACAAGTACCAGAACTCCTGCAAATGCCCTGATACTAAGCGCCGATTTGATTAAGTGCATACGGCTTTAGCAAGGTCCCGCGCTTGCTGGGCACCTTACAGTGCCTACTTACAGCGCCAGTCTGTCCTCCCCGCACCCCACCAACAACCATGTTGAGACCTGCCACCCTCATCCACCTGCACAGCAAGAGTGAGACCTTCCTCCCGCACCCCCCCCCCAAACTATGGCGAGATCCTACGCCTGCATCTGCCTGCACAGCCATGGTGAGACTCGGTGCAGCCCAGGTAAGACCGCATAGCCATAGTGAAACCCACAGGCAGTCCTGGTGAGCCCACTCCTACCTACACAGCCCTGGTGAGACCCCCACGCCTGGTGAGACCGCACAGCCCAGGGGATATATCCACACTACATTGTTGTGTTTACACAGAATCATGTCACGTCTATGTATCTTACGTCATACATGTTCAGTACTATTTAGTGCACACGTGTTCCCTCCAGTCCAAGATCTAGCAGGGAATACTTCTATAGTGATGACCCCCAGAAGAGGTTGCTGGTAATTTTGGGTTCCCCCGCTATGTTCAGCAGTTACCGGCTCCTTTTTCTCAGCTCCGGCAACACCAACAGAACAGACTCGGGTCATGGTGGGGGGGGGTTATTTTAGTATTTATTGCTCCGTAGTAACACCCCTTAAGGGGGGAGATTTGAGGGCGGCAGGACACCCAAAAGCACAAAATAGAGAACAATGTCTTCTGCAATAGCAACAGGTCCTACGAGAGCGACCAAAAAGTAGAGTGGTAGGGAGTTATGACTCTGTTATGGACGTCTGATGGCCAATGAGTGGGGTTGGAGAACCTTGTGAGGGATGCCGGGAGAACTATTACATATCTAGGACACTTCTGTCTCTTCCCTCCCCGGGCCTTTGTCCTGTGAGGAGGTCACCTCAGAGGTCAGTCTGTCTTAGGCCTTGGGCCGTGGTAGGAGGCAGTGACCTCTCCTCATGGGAGGAACCTGGAAAGGTGTTGCGTGCTGGAAGACAAGAACATATGGCTTTGAGGAATCAAGCTGCTTCTGTCTACCACGTCTAGAGATGATGGGAGTGGTAGTTGGGTTGGAAGTTCCATGCAGGAACCTTCCTATGTTCTCCTGCCTTAGAGGGGAAGATTGAGATCCCATCAGAACCTCACTTATCAAGGAGCTCTGATTGGAACCAGCCAGCACAGTCTTTGAAGAGACATCTAGAAGAGATTGAGGCCTAGTCCATCATGTGAGATCCGGTGTACCGTGGGACTTCCTAATCCGCACCTCACCCTCCGTCCCATGCGGCAATTTACCCTTTATCTATGAAAGTGACCAGCGGCCATGGATTCTGAACGACCAGAGAACAGAACCGTGCCTGATGCGAATGTTTCCCGGGACTTTATTGTATGTAAGTGGACTATGAACCATTCGTAATGTAGAGATAACTCTAATAAAGATCAGTACACAGAGCGCTGGAAGGAGTTTATCGGAACCATGTGGCGGCCATATTGAAAATGTGAACCGGTACTCCTAAAAATGTTAAAGTCTGATAATCAAAATGGCGTGATGGTCTCTGTCAACAAATATGTATCATATGTTTCATCGCATTGCCCCTATGTACAGCCCCATACACGGTGTCCTATCCATAAACAAACATAGAGAGTAGTTCCCATGGTTATCTGCTCCCCCAACGATCTTAACGGGATCCTCCCCGGAAAAACAAGGGGTTTTGGGTGGGGCTTTTCGGCCTTTTGGCTAAGATCAAGTGTAGTATCTGTTCTTATCAGTTGTTGGAGGGGAAAGGATGCTGCCGCCCAATTGGGGGAGCATCCTAGTACCCTCTGGTGTAATTGGTGGGTATCGGAGGAAGGTTCGGTCCACTGCTGGTTGCGTCAGGCCCTAGGTACGGGTAGACCCCAGACAGTGGGAGGACCTCTGACGGCACTACCTCCTGATGGGAGCGGAGAAACACTGGGTCTGGCTGGAGGGTTGGGAGGCGGCAGAACCCGTGGTGCTGTGGCATCCCAGAGAACCCTAAGGCCTGTCAGCGTGGTGCACTGGCACTTATTATTTATGCAAGTTGGGCACGTTTTTGACTTCACAGAAGACGGAGGTTGCGGGTACCTTCGATGCCCATTCCTGATGTCGGGGTGGAGCTTCTGTGGCCCTCACAGGGGTTCCCCTGTCTCCACCCACTTGGGAGGTCTCTCTTCGGGGGAGCCCCCAACCTTGTACTCGTTGGTCGGCTTCGGCTGGCTATGAGGAATGGGTCCGCCTGTTTTCGGGTCAGGTGGACACGAGTGCCTTGTCCCCATCAGGAGCGTTACGCCCCCCGGGGGATCAGGGAATGGGCCCTGTCTCTTCGGTAGACGGATAGCACCCCTTCTGTGCATTTTTTTTTTGTGTGCATTTCACATGCACCTTCTTTGTTCACGTTTTGGGTGTTTCGTAGCGCGCTCCACGGGCTTCCAAAAAAAAAAAAAATGTCTCTTCCTTCAAAGCCCATGCTTTTACTATAGTCTCCCTAAGTCCAAAGCCAACTGGAAAATGTTTGTTCACACAGGGGTGGTCTGGTTTGGGACGAGTCTACCTTGTCTGGCCATGGGCTGGGAAGGTATGTGGTGCTTATGCCCTGTACACTCTGGTCATGGGAAGGAAGCTATATAAAGCCTCCACTCTTGTTAGTGTGGGGGCTGAGTCCTTCCCTAGTGGATGGTATCTGGAGGGGGTCAGAGTACCTCCAGTTTTCAGCAGCTTGACCCTGGCCTTCCCAAGGGTTGGCAAGGCATGTGAGCTTGGAGGGCTCGTTGGGCAAGTCACCCAACCTAGTACTTAAGTTACGCCTGATGGTTGGCTATGAATTACTTGCATGCCATAGGCATCAGTGAACCATACTTATGTCTTGGGAAGATAAACCATCACTTAGTACACTTCTTTGGGGTTTAGGGTTTTGCACAGTCACATTACGGGGGTCCTTGGAAAAATAAAAATGTGAAGCTGCTATATACCATGTTTAATGTCCATGGGGTGGTGGAAAGGTGCTGATGGAATATCCTTGTATTTGGAATGGCTTGATGCAGAGTACTGTACTTTGTCCAGATATGGGCCCCACAGCACTGTGACCCCAAGGAGTCTAGAGCCTCAAGGACTTTGACTGCTGAGAGCATGTGGCACCCTCTGACTAAGGATCAGAGCTATACAAAGGATTTGGTGTCCCTCTGTGTGAACAAGCTTTCAACTTAGGGAGACTAGATAATATTTACATAAATTCAGGGGAGCAATTTGCATATTTTTCGCAGTAATTACCCCACCCAAAACCCCTGTTTTTACTGAAAGAGTCCCGATTAAGAATGTTGGGGAGCAGGGAATTGATTTGGTGGGACCACCCTAGCGGCGCGGTTTTGGGGTACACCTTCAACATAAAGAGAAACATTTCACATTTGCATATTACTCTAATATGCTAATGAGAGAAAGGGTGTCAGTTTGGGGACACCGGCTTAACTTAAGGAGAACCTTTTCTAAATTTGCATATTTTCATATATGTTAATGAGATCAAGTCTTTTCTACTCTTTCTATGGAAGTCATGGCGGCTCCTTTATTTCTGCCCTGAACGGAGACTGCGCCCTCTATTGGTGGAGGCCATAATAGGAGGACAACCCCACCACACACACTTTTCCACCTGACTGGTTAGATTACCACACATTGCCGGAACATATCATGGAGGACATCATTATCAAAGACCGCGGGAGCATGTGCACAATCTGAAGGACATTACCAGATACTCGGAATGCCCCCTCCTGGTATTAATCGCTGTCCTCCACTCATGGCCTTCCTTCATCCTAACAAGATTATACACACCCCTAAGATCGAGCTTGGTAAAGACCGTTGCTCCCTTGAGGTGGCCAAATAGGTGCACTCATAGGGAATCCCTAATAGGAGGACCCCCCACCACATACGCTTTACCACCTGACTGGTTAGACCACCACACATTGTTATAACATATCATGGAGGACATCATTAATGAACTCCAGAAACACAGCGGGAACGTTGCACAATCTGAAGATACTCATAACGTACGATGAGATACGCTGGTGGAGGGGTGTGGAGAAGGTTGGGTTGTTTGGAGTTGGATTTGAGAAGGCCCATATGTTTGGTTTCACCTTAGTTCTATGTTAAGAAGGTTGTCAAAATGGGACTTATCGGTTCAGAACTGCGTAGTCACGTGCGATTGACGTACATCGGGTTTGGGCAAGGTGTACGTCCCAGTACCATGGTCAATCCCTATCTCGTCGTTGTTGTTGTCTGGTACCCCCAGAATGTACAACCTGGGACCTTATGCTGTAAGGGTCCGAGAATGGCTGATGCCAGAGTCTTTGTCCAGAAACCATGAACTCCAATGCACCTTATAGACTGATAGAATATAAAGAACAAAATTAGGGGTGCGGAAATTAACGCTTAATTCCTTGATTAATCGTTAATTTCTCTGATCGATTAAAAAATGTTTGATCGGTACTTACCTCTCCGCCGGCTTCCGGGTCTTCCGTCAGAGATCCGGTGACGTCACGGACATTGACGTCACCGGACTCCTCCCCCTTCCCCAAGTGGCTTTGTCGGCTAACGAAGGGAAGGGGGAGGAGTCCGGTTACGTTGATGTCCGTGACGTCACCGGACTCC